GTCGATGACCTGGTGGATTCCCTGAAGGTGAGTGCTGCCTGCCCTGCCTGAGGAGGGGCTGCTGAGCCAGGCGTGCAAACAGCGGCTCTGCTGGAGTAAATGACCGGGTTTAGTTGGCTGGGGAGGTACCTGAGGCGCAGAGTTGGGTATATCAGGGGTGGGGAACTTCATCTGCACTTGGACAGTGGGATGAAATCCCTGCTCCTCACTGGTGCTTCCCAGCAGGAATCTGGTAAGGAAACAAGTCACTGCTCCAGTATGTGCATGCAGGATGTGTCACTAATCTGGAACACCTGGTTTGGGGCTACATTGCTGCAGTGTTTGGGATTTCTGTTTGTGGTTAGGGCACAGTGTCCCCTTCCTGAGTGATCCCCTTGAGCTACTGGAAACATGGACACTCGTTCAGCCCCTGCGTTTGGGAGTGAAGAGCTGCTGCTTTTAGTGAACTGCTGACATGGGGTTTGCAGTTCCTGCACCTGAAGTGTGCAGTGTGGTCTGACAGCTCGAGTACGTCCAGGTGGGATTTAATGGGATTTACTGAGGGCAGCAGAGCAAAACTGACAGAGAAGAAGAATAATAAACAAACTGAAACAAAGAGAAGGGGGGAAAAAACCCAGTACACAAGAAAACCAATCCCCAAAAGAAAAGAATTGGCTGAAAACCCTTCAGTTTTGTTCTGAGAGAATTACATTCTCACCTTTCAGGCTTTAGTCACCTTTGTTTTTCAGAAGGGCGTTTCCTTTACCAAGTACAGTGTGTTGTCCACTTCCTTTTCAGTTTGCTCAATCTTCCTGAAGAAAACTTGGGTTTGCCCTGCAGTAAATCCCTTACTTAGTGCTTTGTAAAGCCCTTTGAGTTGTTGTGGGGTTGGGGGAGGGTTCCTTGTGCAGCTTGTGGGGGAGCTGGTTGAGTCGTTGTTTTCTGGTCATTTTTGTGGGCATGACCAGTTCTGTTTAAGTTGTGTTTGGGTGTGATTAAAGAACAGCACAGCAAAACCCCATCCCAGGGTCACTCGTGTTCGGGATTAAGCCCTTTGTGGAACGGTCCTTGCTCTGGCTTGGGAGAGTTTTCCCACCATTCCTGGAGAGATCCCAAGCCCTGGTAGTCAAGGAGGAGGGAGCAGCCAACTGCTCTGCAGCCAGCACTGCTTTAGAAATGAGGCCTCGTGGAGGAATTATCTTAGAATTAGAATTAATTCCAGCCAGAATGACTTCAAGGCACTCTAATCACTTTTAAAATACTACAGTACATAGGAAAGACATGTTCATTCAGCTGAACTAATTCGTTTCCCCTCTCTCCTTCTGACATTTAGGATGTTTTATGTAGGTTAATTAGTCTAATTTATGGTAGTTGGGAACAACCCTTTATATGAAGCCAGTGAATGTCAGGACAGTTCACCAGCACAAGTTACTGATTTTGAAGAGCCTGTGCTCGAGGAGAGCGTTGGGATTCTGGGCTCTTATGTAATGTAATGGCCCTGGTTTAAAATAAATAAAAATATCTTGGCTCACGTACTTTAAACATCTTCACTATAGGACACCACCTGTTTGTGTATAATTCAAGCTGCAGAGCTGTAATGTAGAAAATGTCTGCAGGTCAATTTACTGTGTGTAATAATTCCGGCTGTAAAATCTGTCTCGTGAAGTTTTTTTTCTTCTTTATTAAACAATGCTTCAGTCAGGGAAGTCTGAAAATGGGCTCTAAATATTTATGTAGTGCAAGGAGAAATTCCTCACAGCTCTTGAGGAGTAATTCCAGAGGAGGCCTTGCCAGAGTCCCAGGAGGAGCTGCAATTTGTCCTGGTGAGGAGTGCTGAGCGCAGTGGGAGCTGTGCTGGCGCTGGCACAACTGAGAGCCTGAGCTCAGAGCTGCGGGCTGGGCCTGCAATATTCTGTGGTGAAGAAGGGCCAGAGGGGCAGTTGTGGGTTGGCCAGTTTGGGCTGGCAAAGCTGGAGTCTCCATCAGCTGGAGGGGTTTACTGTGTGCCCGTCACTGGGCTGAGCTCGGCTGGAGAGCCCTGGGCATTCCCACCCCTGCAGGTGGCAAGGGCAGAGCAGCTCTGTGGGTCCATCCTGGGCTTCTGCTCCTTTGTTTGTCCTCTCTTCAAGCTTTAGGCATGTGGACGTGTTTCAGGTATTTAGGTGTGTCTTAGGTGTGCTCCAGGTAAACCTTGCAGTGTTTTTAATGGCCCCTGAGTTTGTTTCGAAGGGGAAACCCCTGGAGAGCGATAATTAATGTGGGATGAGAGTCCATATAACCCTGGTTGAGGTGTCAGAAGGGTGCAGAGAGAGGAGCTCGGGCAGGGGGGGTCTGAGTGTGTGGGGCTGGGCTCGGGGTGCCCGTCCCCCCCAGCCCCAGCCAGGGATGGAGGTCACACCTGCCCCTGCAGCACGTCATGCTTGGACCCTGCTGCTGCTCTGGGCAAAGCCTGAGTCAGCCCAGTGTGAACTCCTGGATTTTGTTCTTTCTCGAGCCATAAATTCAGTGCTCACTAATGGGGTTGGGTAATTCTGATAATTGTTGGACTTCGGGATTGATTCACGTCTTGTTACCCCTCTGCTTACGTCAACTCCCCCTTTCTGCCCTGGGCACAGTTGTCAGCAATATTCCCGACTGCTGGGCTGACTGGGCCGGTGCTGAGGCTTTGGGAATTGTGTCTGTGGGGAACAAAGCACGGATAGCTGTCAGGATGCTTCAGGGTGGGTAGTTCACTGCAAGAGAGTCATTGTGAACCATCACAAACCTGGGGGCTTTTTGCCCAGTGAAAGCTGGTGCCTTTCCCCTCTTAGCTGGGATGGGGGGCTGTGCCATGGGATTGTTTGCTCCGTTCCAGTGCCTTGTGCAGAGGATCCATGGCCAGGCTCCCCCTGGCCCTGCAGAGCTGAGCTGGGCCAAGCTTTGAGTGCCCCATGAGTGAGGTGGGGGAGATGTGCCTTGTTGTTCTTGGGAAACCCGCAGTGACTCTGCAGTCTGGGCACTGGCTGTGCCCCTTGTGCTGCTTTGTCATCTCTCCAGAGTGCTGCCAGATAAAGAGCTGCATCACTTGCAGTTCATTCCCCTGAATTTTGAATGGGATCAGCCCTGATTGAAGCTCTTGCAGTAAACTTCATCTCAAAGGTCATGCAATTAAACTTGGGTTGAGTGTCAGGCCCTTATCTTGTTTCTGGCTGTTGATTTTAGTTTGCTTTGGGTATTTTACATCCTAAGATAAGCTAAAATGGGATGTTGGGATATATGAGTTCAGAGTAAGCTGGCTGCAGGCCAGCCAGCAGGATCCTGGCCCACCCCCTTGGCCCTTCACTGGGTGTTTATTTTCCTTGCCAGCACTTTGTCCTCTCCTTCTCTTGGTGTGTCCCCTGGGGCTGTTCCCTGGGGCCAGCTCGTCCCTCCCTGGCGCTGTGTCAGCCTTCCCAGGTGTCTGTCCAGGGTTCTGTGGTGCCTGACCCAGGGGCTGGGGGTCTGTGTGAGGGAATCAACTCTGGGAAAGCCACTGTTGGTGCCACCCAGCCCTGGCTGCTGCTCAGCCCCTCCCTGGGCCTGCAACTCTAGACAGAAGCGGCTGATTTTCCCTGGGAGGAATCCTGCCCGAAATAGAGCTGGCAGCTCTCCCCTGGGATAGGTCAGAGGTGTGCCTGGGACACTGCACCTGGGCAGGGCTCTGTGTCCCACTGCAGATGGACAGGCCCCAGCAGCAGCAGGGAGGGACAGGGCTGGCCAGGGAGCCTGCAATGGTGGCACTGGGGGGCTTTAGGTGTCTGTCAGCACGAGGGGTGTCTGGGCTTCTGAACTTGCCTCAGACTTGGAGCCAGACTCCATTTTAGGGCACTGTTGACTCCTCTCTTTCCTAAATCCCTTAATATCCCAAGCACCTTTGGGGGTTTTTTAATGAAAAAAGGTAAATCAAGCCAAGCCTACCAAACATGGTAGGTAACCTTCTAGACAGGCTGTGCTTTGGTGTGACAGAAACCTCTGCCTGGCGTAGCCAAGGGTTCAGTGAGAGCTTTGCTGAGCAAAGGGCGATGGTGGCAGTTTGGAGCCACAGTGGGCACCCCATCCAGCCTGTTCCCCGTCCTTCAGCCAGGCTCTGGTTGCATGGCTGTGCAGGGGGTGTTGGGTGTGCTGGGGGTGTTCACAGACAGTGGGGTGTGCTGGGGGTGTTCACAGACAGTGGGGTGTGCTGTGGGTGTTCACAGACAGTGGGGTGTGCTGTGGGTGTTCACAGACAGTGGGGT